CTGCAAACTCAGTAGACAGGTACCCTGCAAACCCAGTAGACAGGTAAGACACCGCGGGAAGGCACCGCGGGAATGACAAGCGTGCACACCAGGACTCGAACCGCCAAACCCATGGCAGTGGAAGGAGACAAGCTCCGTCTACCGCTAGACCAAGCGCTAGAACCCATGGTATATATATTTTTAATAAACTGAACACATTGCAAAGCTAAAAATATCACTCTGCAGAAAACATTTATAGCCGAATTAACTGATGAAATGATATGTGATGAGTTTTTGGTTAAAAAATGGAGATATCATTATGTTTATATTTGATAATGATTTGTAAAATAAATTGATTATATCTATATTGTGTTATGTTTGATTATGAAGTATAAAATATAAAAAAAAATATCATTTTATTTTTAATATTTATTGTTATCAAACTTATATATTTAAAAAAAAGTAAAGTAGATATTATTTTTTTTACTATAATTTATATTCAGTGTTGAGATTAATAATATTATAATAACTTTAGTTATAAAACCAAAACTGACTAGATGTATTGAATTGGGACCTGCATTGGTTCGAGTTTAAAAAAAATAAATGAATGATTGACTTAAGTAACCTGATTAAAAACCAAGTCAATTCAAGATAAAACACAAATGAAAAACTCGTTAACTTTTTTGAAAAGAAATTGATTAAAATAAGGTTATTTTAATTATTTTTTTAAATTACGTCAATCAGATTGACTCCCTTGACCCGTGATCTAAATCTCATTCGGGTCAACTTCTAATTTGAATTTTAAAATTATATAATAATATTTTTTATTTATATACTGACTCAGGTCAATACATGTTAACTGTTTTTACATGAGGCCTAAATCTTGTCCAGAATAAATTTCAAATTATATTTTAAAACTATGATATTTTAAGAATAAAAATATTAAATATTTTCTCTCAAACATATTCCTACCTCATTTTTAAAAATATATAAATTTACTTTAAAATTATTTTAAAAATTATTTTTATTTTTTTAACTAAATATATTTTTATTTCTACTGTATCCTAACAATAGAATCCCAAATCAACGGGGGATATGATCAGAACACACCAAACATGAGATGCGCGCGCGCTCTTGTCTGGTAATTCACACCATACACATACATGTTGTTGTGCTCTCCTGGCAATTCTGCGCTTTCTCTTGCTATTCCTTCATCTTTCCAAGTTCCAACTACCATTGCACACATACTCCCTTTTGCTTTAACTTTAATATCTCGCGCTGTTTTTGCCAGCGATGATTTTATTCTGCCCCCATTTATATGTTGTGCTATCACCGGGGGTGGAGCTACAGTATGCTTTCGAAGCTATGGCGCTTCCGAAGTTGTAAAATTTTCTAATTTGGATACTGGATTTTTTTTGGTTTCCATCTTATTTATGCATTTGATCCTTTTCTCACCGACTGTTTTTTTTTTGGTTAATTTGACCTGTTTTCAAGTTTGATTTTGTAGTTTTTATGACGGTAATCCCTCTCGATTTTTTATTTTTTTTTATAGCTGCACCTTCATTATACATGACAAACTCGAGGAACATAATTGCAAACAATTAATTATTTATATTTTAGACATCGTACATTCATTATTACACATGTCTCTTAGCTAGACTTTGTTTGGTCGATTCGAACAAGTTTCAAACCAGCCAGGTTCTTAATGGACAAGCACTCTATTTATATGTGGACTTTGGTGTACTCAAGATGAGGCAGCACAGGATCTTCCATGTTCTTAAAACTTGTAGTTGTTTTGATGATGCAATTTTCTCTGCTAAATAGTGCATCCTTTGAAATGACATTTTCTTTTTCTGACATGCCAGGAATTTGATAAAAAGCAAAACTTGAAAACAAAAGCATGTTTCTTCCTCGTAATTTCGACAAAAAGTACTAAAACATCAAAAAGTAACTGTGTTTGCGGGATTATGTAGACCACTTGGTGTATAGTTAGATAGTAGGAGGATATAAGTGCTATTTCCGACCCAAAAACCCCGTCCGGAATCGATGTATTGCCACTCTTGATGCCATCTTAATATGTATTCTCACACCTGGCGACCACTACCATTACATAAACCTTGAAAAGATATATTGTAAGGTCATAATCTAATTTCAAGCTAGTGATTCTTCGAGATGAATTGGTCGTTGCAATCTGGACTTTGTCAAGACAAGAACGCACATATTTGAAGATTCAAGGGATTTCAATGTTCAGAGGACCAAAGTAATTCCTTCATTAGCACGGCTCTAGCGTGTTCTCCATTTGAGTGCCGGTCCATGCATTTTCCTTCTCGATGTAGTTGAGTTGTCTTAGTCTGAGACAAGTAGTCGAGATTTGTCTTGGTCCGAGACAAGTAGTCGAGATATATATATATATCCTTCATTTAACATTGCAATTTGCAGTTGAACTTTGACCAGAAAATCCCGCTAGCTAGGATAAGCCTTGGATGAAAAATGAATGTTGCTAATATCTGTTTCAATACATAAAACAAGGGAACTAAAAGATCTCCTTTAAAACTATTGCGAGCAAAGTCGATTCATAAGCCTATCATACGATAGGAATGATCAGTTTGAATTGTTGAGTCGTTAAATACCTATAGAGCACAAGTTGATTCTCATCTAATTCATAGATGGACTCGTATAATATAAGATGCTGATCCCTAAACTATTATAAAATCAATAAATATTAATAAAAAAAATTTATCCATATATTACAATGATTTTTATTAACTCCTTAATATATTTATCGTTAAATAACAATAAAAAAAATTAAATCAATATATTCTAAGAGAATGACGGATGATATTTTAATAAGATTCAAAAAGTTCCCAAAAAAACAATGCACAATCCCTGTTTTTTTATGAAAAAAATATAATTTAGAGCAACTACTAATGTTGTTATTAATTCTAGAATTTTTAATAATTCTCAATATCAGCTGCACATTATGAAGAGATTCTTTAACTTCCATAAACTTGTATGACGCCCATTCATCTCCTTCGCACCCAAGTTTTTTCTATTGTAATTTTTGTTTTCCTATTCTTCCTTCTAAAAAGGAGGGAAAGGATTATTTCATTTCTAATAGTGTTTCAAAACCCTAGATAGTTCAGCGATGTATAGTGTGACTTCTTGATTTTTTTTAAATAAAATAAAGATATAAATTATGCATTCTTGACTACAATAGAACAAAAATAAATAAAGATATAAATTATGCATTCTTGACAGTAGAACAAAAAAAAAAAAAAAGATGTAATATTTTTGTTTTTGGTAAGGAAATGAAAGAGAATGTTTGAAGCTTAGTTTAGATTATATTGATGTATTTAGTAATTCAATAAAAAATTTACATATTAGACAAGGTTTTAAAAAATAATTTAATTTTAAATTTGCACTAGCTATAATATATAATTTTTATGAGAATAATAATATTTAAACTCGTAACTATTTATTTAATAATTTTTTTTTATCATATTAAAAAATTATCTTATTCTAAAAACATAAAATGTTATATGAGATTTAATATATAATATATATTATTCTCTAATAATATCAAAATTATCCAAACAATTATTAATTCAATGAATTTTTAATATAAACTTATATAACAAAAAACACCTTCAATTTTAACAGAATTGTATTGTCAGCTAGATATTGAATGAGTTTGTTAAGCAAGACATTATCATATTGTTATTCCACCAGGAAAAAAATGTTTTTGGGTGTGATGGGAAGAACTTTTGTTTTTATTTTTGAGTGTTTTTTAAAAATATTTCTTATTTAAAAATACTAAATTGATATGTTTTTAATTATTTTTATAGTTTTAATGTAATGATATTAAAAATTAAAAAAATTGATTTTTTTATTTAAATAAACTTTTAAATAAAAAATTATCTTAAAAACACGGTGGTATGTATTTAGTTAGAATATATTGGACCTCCAGGAGACATAAATGAGAAAAAGAAATTAGGCTAATGCCTGAAATCTGAATCTAAACTCCGGTAAATATTTAATAAGCGAAAAGAATGCAGATCAAGTGATGACTCATGATCCGCGATGGCATACACTATACGCACGGGCAAAGACACTAGTAAAGAATTATGTGGCAAAAGCGTGGCTACCATGGGACCCAACTTGATGATTAGGTTTGGACAGCTCACGGAACATGGAGCACCTGTGGGCCCCGTATTGCTCATTGGGTAGGGAACCATAAGTGGGCCCCAACTTGTCTGGTTGTCCCTTTCGTGGCTCCCATGTCTTGTAAATTTGTAATCTCTGTGGATAGCAAGTGGGGCCACTGTTCCTATATAATATAGTTGCCCATCAAACCTTCCTAAATCCCATAGGGCATTGAGTATAATTGTGGTCTTTGGCAGACCACAGAAGCAGCATTTTGCTTTACGAGGGTCGTTGCCATTTTACTTACCAAAAAAAAAAAAGGGTCGTTGCCATTTTCACTGTGATCATTGAAAATTTAACATAAGAATATGTGCTTGCCGACAGCATGTTTCTAATATCTCATGAGATAAAATGCCCCCTTTCATACCCTCTCTCGTAAAATGATATAATAATAAATAAATAAATAATATTGAAAAGTATAAATCATGTTTTAGAATTTTTTTATAAAAATTATCCTTATAAATTTTAAAATCATTAAAAATATATATAACCTCGTAAAACTAATTAAGATATATATAAATTAGTATATATATTTATATTAATAAAATAATAAAAAAATTTATACAGTATGTTTATTCTTTCTTCCAGCTTTAAAACACAAATAACGAATATAATTTAGTAAATAAATGAAAAGCTATCGTAAATTGACTGTGATAGGAATATTTCTTCTTCTGAGCGTGCAAGCTTGAGATGAGTTTTGTAAAGTGTGCATTTGGAAAATTGAATTTGTAATTTAAAAAAAAAAAAAACCACCAAAGAGCATATCGTATAACTGGCCATGAGATATATTATGCTTATAAATACAACGTGAGGAAACGGATAATAAATCTGGCAGCATATTGATATTTGCCTCATCATTGAAATAATTTGAACTACGAAACAAATAAATGTTTCTGAGCAAAGTAAGATCGGTATAATTGGTTCTAATACACTTCTTTTGCACTCAGAGAAACCTTTTCCTCACAGTAGTCATAATTCATATGATTCAACTCTCACAAAGTAAGGTACCCACTGCACGAATAAGAAAAAAGGGGGGGAAAAGAACCCATCGTATCGTCACCAACCCAGCAGCCTTCTAAGCAGTAGAAAGGCTTCTTTGTATTGTCCATCTCATTGGCAAATCTGCAACTTAATTTCTCTACAGTCTACCGATGTAAAAAGTTTTACCAGCCCGATTGCCTTCAGAAGGGGAAAGTTGAATTCTGATATGAATATGCAAATACTGGACCATGTTTCCTCCCGTTATTTACCTGGACACTTTTTCATTAACTATTTCCGTACATAAAAAGGTACTTTCCCATCCTCCGAACCCGGGACTCCCATTTCACCATGGAGCCCTATTGTAGTTATTTGAAGCCGGAGACCAAACAAAGCTCAAAGAAATCAGTCGACAGACAAATTCCTGGTCGGTCTTCTGCACTCTGCGTTAACCTGGGAAGACAATATGGTTCGCTGATTAAGAGAGCGTGTTTTTGGGTTAAAACTCCTTCATTTAGGTGAGGCTTGCATGATCTTCATTGCAAATGATTTCCTAAGGCAATTACCTTGAACCTTGTTTCATTTTAAATGTCTGGGACATTTCCACTGTCCTTGAAACTTGTTATTGCCATGGCGTGTAGCCTAGCAATCCAGAACATCGTAGCGGAAATGAGCCGAAAGAGTTGCAAGCAAAGCTGAAAGAGACCCCTCCTAGCAAATTAGAAAAGGCAAATCTGTGCTACATTGTCAAAACGACATTCACAAAGATCAGAAGAAAACAAAGAAAGTAGTTTTGAACACACTTTAGAATTCAAACTTGCTTTTTCAGAAAACTGTTAGCGCTGGTGGCAAATGAGCATCTGGAGGACCTAAACAGCTCAAGAAGTCGATAAACCACAAATATTGATGTGATTTCAGTATCTTTTTGGAAACAGTCGTAGACAGACTGGAGGAACGCATAGTGATACGTCACAAGCTGTGTTTATACAAAGTCAGTTAAGAAACTAGTTTTTATAGAAGCTTCGTTTTGCCAAGCATATATATAATTTTTGATTTAAGATGACAACAACATAAATAGGCTCGATATGTCTACTTGAACAAATTTTAGCAGAGTCATAAAAAAACCTCCAAGGCTAGTTTCTGGAAAGAACAACTTCCATAAAAGGTTTCAAACGCGGAAGTAAAAAAAAAAACTAAAGAAAGAAGCAGCATCCAAAAGTTCATAAATGCTTTTTCCATGGAAACTAAGTTCTTAAAAAATGCTCGAGTAACTTTAAGAAAATTAGTCTACAGGATTGAGCAACAGCGTCCTCGTCGGAAATATTAAAAAAATGCCTTGGGCAAAGTCTTTTTCATAGAATCAGTAGGCCGAAAGAAGATGAAATACACAGTAATGGGACTCATTACAAATATCTTACCCTTGCTCAAGCTAACACTCTTGGATGAAAAAATATGAGGACAACTGGTATCTCATGATCAAAACAGATAAAAATAAAACAGTATCAAACCTACTCGCCTTACCACTAACGCAGACATCTCCCAATTTGTGCTTCTCTGAGTCTTTTAAGAAAAGGCAGACGAGTAAAACGAGTGCCACAAAAATATTTCTTAAAGGTGCAAATAAATTGTTTTCTTTCCTCCAGTATTAATGTCATCAACCGCATGCTTAGATTCATTGTTTACGATCTCATAACCCAGAATCACTTTAGTAAATGCCCACGGATAACTGGCTGACTGCCCTGAAAATGAGATGGTCAACGACATCAGCATGGATAAACAGACATGGACCCAGAGAATATATATAGTTAGACACAAACATATACATGTGCATATGAAGAGAGTAGATATTATGTACAGCCAAAATCTGGAAATTAAACAAATATAAGGAAATGTCTAAATATTTGCTTGTTCTCCTTCCTTATTAAGATCTGTAGTGTCCATAAAAACAGGTTTAAAAACTTCAACCGCACAAGTCCAGACAACAGAAAATTACAACCCCCACCCCCCCCAAAAAAAAGAAAAAAAAAAGAATGGTGCATTGAAGATATAGATGCACCGAATACCTACAATTGCAAGTAATATCTAACCGCAGTTCCTCTAACAAAACAATTCATAAAAAATTTTAACCACAGAATGCATGCAAGTACGAATGCTTCACAATATCTATATCTTCTCCTTGACTAAAAATAGACTTGCACTTATCATCCGCTACTTCTAACAAGCAAAAGGCTTGCACATATCCCTCCAAACGTTTAGTGCACTTCTGAAATGTGAGTCAAGCAAGTTCTGAAGTATCTCCAATCCATCCTCTCCTCATAATTAGTAAAAGAATTGCATTTATCATCATTCACAGAATTCACTATGTTAGCAATCCATCCTCTCCTCATAATTAGTATGAGAATTGCATTTATCATCATTCACAGAATTCACTATGTTAGCATATAGTGCATTTCCATCGCCAAACAATTAAATCCTTTACCCTTGTATCGGTGGAAATTGTTATTTTCCGGAGATTAGAATTTCAAACAACTAATTGCAGTTTAATTATCAGTCCAGTAGCCAAATGTGCACAATTTATTCTAGCAATCAAGTCTGTCAATTTTAACCATATCTGGTGCTTTGTTTTCCCTTACATAATAAAGGTGATATAGGAACTCTGAAAACTTATAATAACACAAGCCAAAATATCAGAAATTTTCAGGAACAATACCCGGAAGATGTTGCTTTCCCAATAGAAATCAAATACTGTCCATCTTCTATTCCAAAATGTGCATTCCACAAATCAGCATAAGTTTGAGGAAAAGGTTGCGGAAACTACCGTGACTGCACAAACATGACAAGAATGTGAACCCATGTCCTATTATGATTATAAGAACATAAAAGAACTTTATGTTTTCACACAACAGACCAATCATGTGAAAACCACAGTTTTCCAGCTGACAGTGTTGCCTAGTATTTAACCAAGGTAGGCAGGCAACTGATAGGTTTATTTTCTTGCAATTCAAGCTCCACTTTGGTAGCAGATTCTTCTGTGCCAATTTTATGACCTAGTTTTTCTTCAGTTTCTAAAGTCACGTCTGGAGAATATAAAGGCAAACTGGGAAAAATTCAATTCTTTTGATGCATATATATTTTGTTCCCTAAATTCACTTATTATGTATGAACTTTCACTTCTTAATTCTTTTGGCATGGAAGAGTTCACATTTGAAAGGGTGTGTGGAGAAGCCCACTGCTCATGAAGAATATCCGGATCAACACAGTTCACACCCATAGCATTTGGAAGACATCCTTCCAGACTTGTAGCTGCTAAAAGGCCATTCATGTCAGGCTCATCATGCAGTTCCACTGGAAAAAAAAAAACTATCCAAAACAATGGAGGGAAATCTTTTGCATGCCAAGAAGACATCAAAATAATTTGTAGCATCTTTGGAATTCACACTAAATTGCTTTCAAGCTGTTTCATTCTCGATTAAATCATGAAAACCACCAGAACCCATGAGAGCTGATTCCTGCATGAAAGTAAATTGCAAGTTAAGGAACATATGGAATGAAGAGCTAAATAACACCCAAGACGATGCAGAAGAAACTCTCTTTCTATTCCGAGAACATAGAGATAGATTGCATATTTATGTTATATAAAAACCTCGCGAAATTATAAAACCTAAGAAAAAGGATGGAGTAACTTTTAATAACAAGAAAGACATACCTCTTGATTACAAACAGCCAGGCACTTTTCCTCTGAAAATCTTCATGATCAATTTCTCAGCTATTTGCATTGATCTCTATCATAATTAAACCAGCAATAACCCTTGCCTTAAAAAGGCCTACAATATTATCATTAAGAAAATGACAAAAAAATATTCTAAATAGATCACATTTTACCCAACAGAAAATACCTGCAACCTGCCCATGCCATGGAGGGGAAAAAATTCAAAGAAAAGGAAAAGGTAATAGAAGTATGAATTCTCATCAAGCCTGAATAGCTTAACTACAAAACTTTGCAAGTAAAAAATAGCCAAACAACAGCACTGATTCTTTTTTTTAAAAAAAAAGGAAGAAGAAGAAGAAGAAAAGAAAGAAAAGAAAAAAGAAAACTTCCAAGGAAGACAGTCTTAAGTGAAGTTTCCTATTTTTTTTCCAAATACTGTTAGCTGCTTTCTACGATCAAGGAAATACTGTTTTGCACTGAGATTAAACAGCCACACCCTAAATTCCATAGAAATCCTTTCATGAGAACCCTTGATTTATATAAACATTTTTAATTCAAACAAATAGGAAGATGGCACATGTCTTTCCTATTTTACTGCAAAAAAAACAAACAAACTGTTTTATATGAAAAATGAAACTGAAGAAAATTTTCTTCACCTCAACTCAAGCACGCCTCAATCCCCAGCAAGTTGAGTTCTTCAACCAAAATTTTATTTCTTTCATCTACATCAAGTTTAAAGTCATATTCTCCACAACATAAACACAAATCTTGCTATCATAATAATCAAACCAAGTCAGTTTTTATTCTCCCTGTCACCTTTTTCATCCCTTCTGCTACAATTTCTTGCTGACACTTACAAAAGTTTTTGTCGCACATGGCCAGAGTATTTGGTCACCATCAAGTTTCTATAGCTACTAATTACTGTAATTTTATTTGCTACATTAAACATCGTCTAGAAGAAAAGGTCTCTTGTAGTAAAGAAATTCTAAAAAAAATGTCGATAAAGAGAGCTAACGCAAAAGAATACTCATCTGTCAACACACTCATTACCATATTAAGCAACTTTTTCTGATTTGATGTAAATTGCCTACCATGATGGTCTACTTCTTCAAACAACCTTTCCTTCGATGTATGCTTAGATCGAGAACAGAATTTTGATATCCCGAAGACGGAATTATTAAACTGGCAACTCGAAAGGAAAATCCAGAATATTTGAAATATTTCAATTCCCATCCTTGAGCATAATAAAATCAGAACAGAGTAAGTGCCTCACGTTTCTGCCCAAAGCATTTCTATATCCTCTATCAGCTTTAGAGAAAATTACAGTCGCCAACATTTTCCACTACAACACTGTAATGGAATCTTTAATCAGGGGATAGACAAATAGAGACTTGTAATCGAAAAGAGGCTTCTTCTCCTTCTTCTGGTCACAGAACCTAAATATTTATTTCAGGAACAATTTACCAACGAGACCAAGAGGGGAAACCAAAAAAAAGTAACATCATTCATATACTTACAACACCAAATGATTGCATGGATGATAGATTCGGTGCCATTAGAAACAAGATCAAGACATGAGCAGGGCATTCCGAATTAGTATAACTTGTGCAATAGAAACTGCAGGAAGAAAACATCAATCACGATTTTAGAAAGAACAAAAGTAATTATAATCAATACTGCAGTCAATTGGATCTAATTTATGACCAGATTTTATAAAGAAACCGAAGGAAATCTTGATCTCTTAACGCATACCTTGCTTCTCCTTCTCTGCTCTTCGAAACCGATTGTAACACTAGTGTATGCGCGTGTGGAACAAAGAATAGATAGAATCCAGAGGCGGGAGATATTGTTACAATAAAAGCCCCGTAATGCTCCGCTTTCCCGGCCCAGTTCATGAGCCCACGTCTTTTCATGAGAAGAGGCCGAAATCTTTTTTTATTTAGTCACTGCATTTGTCTTGAACAGTCAGTATATGCCTCGTATTGTCAAACTTCTCAATTGCATCTTATTCATGTGATTCAAACTTCTCAATTGCATCTTATTCATGTAATTTAAAAAAAAAAGTAAATTTAAAAAAAAAATCAGGTTTTGAGAATGACACCGGTAAATTGTAAATTATAAGGTAATGTCTAAAAAATTTAAATAATATAAATGAAAGTAGAAGGTATATTGGTGATCAGGAGGAGCATATATACATATCTAGAAAGAGAAGTAGTCCTAGCAAACAAACACCGATTAAATGGAGTAAATTACTGATAAGTCGTCATAATATACTAAAATTAGCTAATATGCAGGATATAAAAAAATAATTAGAGTGCCAAACAATCCATAATCAATGTATATGACCGTCGTTAATTTAACATCATTTTTCCCCTCTCAAAAATCCTCAACCCCACAGTAAAAAATGCCTTACCCCCTAATAAAAAATTTCCATCTTTTATTTCTCATTTGTTTTTCTTTTCTTTGAAAAATTACAAAAAAAATAACAAAATAGCATAGCCACTAAGTTATATAAAAAGGCGATAAAACTTAAAAATAGAGACACAGAGTATTTTTAAAAATGCTATAAAAATTTTTAAAAAATATTTTTTTGTTTAAAAATATATTAAAACAATATTTTGTTTAAAATCTATTTTTAATCTCATTATATGAAAATAATCTAAAAATATATAAAAATAATAATTTAAAATTAAGAAATAAAATTTAAAAATATTTAAAAACATGGCCGGATAATAGTCAAAAACCAAACCTAAATCTATATTTTAATTTTTTTTAAATTAATTAATTAATTTTATTGAATAAGTAAAAAGACAACAAATTATAATTAACGTTATCATTATTTTTTTAAAAGAAGAAAATCCACACCCCCTACTTTTTACATATACACTCGTGTATCTTTGTTTGTTTTTACGTTTCTAAGCATTTCCATTGACAACTAGAATTTGAAAAACAGTTCTGTTCAAGCAAAAAATGAATAGTGCATGCAGAGGTTTCAGGCATCGCATCAATTTCCTTTTGATTTGTTATTTTTTATAAGAGGATACTCAACTGAGATGCTATTTTTTGAAGAGTTAATTTAATAATATAATATTTTAAATAGTATAAATATTTTTTTTATTATATATTTTAATAGAAAATAATCATTTAAATTAATAAATAAAATTTTAAATAGCATAAATATATATTTTTTATTATATATATTTAATATTTTAACAGGAAAAAATCATTTGAAAATTCAATTATTTAAAATGGAGAAAAATAAATTCTTTATTTTATCTTCAACGAATTTAATGTTGTTGTTTTTTTTCAAATAACTATACTTAATTTGTTTATTTTTTTGTTGACCCTACTTTATTAGTTTTGGTTTTTTTAAGAAATATGTAAAATAGTATTTCTAAAAGAAAAAAAAATTGTTTAGCATTTCCTTAAAAAAACATGTTTTAAAAAACTAAAATAATATATATTTTTATTTTTACCTTTTATTTAGTACTGACTTTGAAGTTGCTGTAAGAGGGCCGAGGCCGAAGTGGGGAGCAAGATATATCTATCAATTGCTCTCAAAGACCGGTAGGTTCTCTGCAGGATGCCCAGTCTTTATTACAGCCCTCATAATCAAAATCCAATGGCATCATAGTACGGGTCTTGTGCTTGGAAGGGTTGTTCATGAAAGTGATTCGAGTTCACAGTTTTCTGGACCAAACTTGTCTTTTTGCATAGCCCATCTTTCCCTCTTCAGAAACCCGCCTCCAAACGCCATTTCAAAGCCCGTTCCATTGCATATTTCATTTCTGTTCTTTTTCCTTTTTAATTTGTGAACTAATAATGAAAACACGTTTGGGCTGGAGCTTGCAACAACAATATTTTGCGCACCATGCATACTGTTCTTGCTACATGGGTGGTTGTCTGCAAAGAGGAATTTGCCCAAATGCTAATCTGAGGTCTTCGTAAATTCGCTTCTGCAGTAATCTTTCCTGGGCTTAGGGTTTAAGATATTCCTATGATTTGAATTTTTGTAGAGTGAATGTGACGGGGGATTCGACCAAGGAATCCCTAACTTGATTGGCTGGAGCAAACAAGTTCAATGTTTGCATAGTCCAAATTAAACGTCGCAGATAAATGCCCGGAAACGTTGAGGTCCTCCTTCGGGAGATCCTCCGTTGAAGGGTGGTCTCATATTCCATTGCCTTGTGTAGCAGCGTCGCTGCCTCTACAATTTGGGACTGGCCATGAGACATACATTCCAGTTTCTTTTCAATTTTTATCCCGTGTTTACTCAATTACTGTTTGTTTTTTGGGCCTTCAACTTTCAGTTGCTTGATGGAGAAGAGTTATGTTCAGCATTGCTAAATAAGACCATGGATTGATTGCTCCCTGGCTGGATATTCTTTCCACTTACCAGTGAAAGGGAAATGTTGCCCAAGCAGTAGGGACTTGGGATGAAATGATTAAGTCATGGAATGATTTGAAGTCTACAAATGGAGGTGCAAAATAGTCTCGAGGTTAAAAATATTCGGTGGATGGATCTTGCCTGTAAAACTATAAAATTAAGTGGTCGTGAAAGTCAATATGCCACTGAGCGATTCGATGGAGATACCATACCAGTTACATGTATGGTGAATTTCCCAGGAACCTTGAGATTTCATATGGTAAAAGGTGAAGTGTGTCTGATGACAATCTATCGCGTCTACATCAGCATCTATGGATGGCAGAATGGATGGAGGAAATTGGATAAGATGTTATTTCAGTTTTATCTCCTCTGAATAACGTGGTAATTTAAATAAAAACAAGATCCAGCAGAGACAATCCCATCATGTTGTTCAAATAAAAACATCACTTGGATGGTGCGTGATAGATGAAAACGAAGCGTGGGATTTGTTCATTGCAATGCCTGACACGAAATCCTCCGCTTGCAACATTACCAGTAGTAGCACCTTACTGATTTCAGAGTGCTCCTCAGAAATCTGACACGGAATCCTCCCCTTCCACATTAGCAAAGACCCCCCTTTCCAGGATCCAATCCTCTATCATAGCCTGAGAATTCACTGCTTGGTCAGTAGGCACAAGATGCCCAGCCCCTAACACAACAGCATTGCTAAAACTCCTCCACTTCTGCACATACCCAGCAAGCACACCATTTACTTTCCACACCTTCCTCTCAGCCATCAAGTACTTCCCTATCCCTTCCCATTTCATTGTCTTCACCCAAGCCTCTGTTGAAACCACTCCATCTCTCAAATCCAAATGCCCTTGATACAACAGCACGATACTCTTCTTATCCAAGAATTCCACCATATAC